TAAACCATCTTGATGGACCCCTCTCTCCCCCTTTTTAAAATGAAAAAGTCTCTCTAGACCATTTGCAAGGAAAATGAGCGATAGCGAACGTCAGAAACCAAGCAGCATCATACACATGAGAACAGATAGCCGTGACCTCGAACCAAAAGCAGAATTGCATCACGAGTCCCACCAAATAAGAGCACAGCAAAGCTCGTAAGTGACAATGTTCGAATAGTCTCATCATCATCAACAAAGAACCAATGTTGACATCCTGTCTGGCGGTCGGGGCCCAGACTACAAATGGCAGATCCTATCTATCCGATCTACAATGCCGCTGATGACGTCAAAGCTCCCCGAAGTACGAGCAGATCTCGGCCTATGCCGTTCCAGGTATGTTTCTCGCCTCACTCATAACCTCGATCCCCAACTCACAGATGCCACATGCACCCAAAGACCACCATGCGCTCCATCCAACATACAGCAGCGCAGCTCGACTATGGCTGCTTGCTCCTTCCAGCTCGCCCGTGAGTGCGTGAGCGCTGGCCAGTGTATAGCGCAGCAGCGCTCGCGCAGCCCGAATGCCGAATGTGTGGGCAGGCACTTTCCTAAATGGAAGTGGCCTGCCTGCTAGCGTGCAGCCTGGCTGCGCTGGGCCCCTGCCCAGAAGCTTCCAGTAGGCCCAGAGAGGCTGAGCCCCAGTTCAAACGAAACAGGCCCTGGGCCTGATGTTGTTGCCCGTATCCAACTGCCCGCGGCCTGTGTTCGGTCCATGTTGCGAATCTGGCCCAGGGCCTACCTCACTTACATTTGAAAGAGAAACCTGGGTCTGGGCGCTCTCAACCAACTGGCGCTGCGCAACTGCCTGAACTTACCCAGTTGCGTGACGACCCCAAAAATAGGCCTGTAGGCCCTGGGTCGAACCTGCCTTCACTTAGGTTGGCCGACTGTACAGAAAATAGGGCCCAGTAGGGCAGATCGAGGCCTTGTGCCTCGCACATTGATGAGATATGAAACTGAACGGAGCAGATACTACGCTTGATCGTGGGGGGGGTAGGATGGGATACGAAACTGATCAAAGCACTTACTACATCTTGTTTGGGGAGGGGGGGCGTAGGCGCATAGGTAGTTAGAATGGTCTCTCTCTCTCTCTCTCTCTCTCACGCACGTGCTCTTTTTCTCTTTTTCAAAATAAAAAGGTCTCGAATCTCTCGGTGGACCACGGATCAGATATGAAATTGAACAGCAGGTGCTACGCTTGATCGTGTGAGGGGGAAGATTGGATATGAAACTGATCGAAGCAGATACTACACTTGATCGTGTGGGAGGGAAGGGGGAGGAGGCCCATTGTTAGTGAAGTTCGATTCTCTCTCTCTCTCTCTCTCTCGCGCGCGCGCGCGCGCTCCATCCCTCCCATGTCTTGCGCAAACCATCTCGATGGACCTCTCTTCCTTTTGCTCGCTCGCGCGCGTGCATGCCTTTTTTTTCTTTTCTACAATAATGAGGTATCGATGGACCACGGATCAAATACTACGCTTGATCGTGTGGGGGGGAGGATCGGATATGAAACTGATTGAAGCATATATGACACTTGATCACGTGGGGGGGAGGAGGGGGGAGGCGCATAGTAAGTGAGGTTGGG